TTCCGTTCTTTTTCCTGTCTCTAATTGTTTTCCTTGTGTGGTGAGTTCTTTCTGTTTTTGTTCTTGCAATTGTGTTCAGTTTAATCCTTTTCTAGAATATTGTTTAGTACTCTGTGTATAGTTGGTTTGGTCTTCAGGAATTTCTTTATTTGTTCTTTGTCATGGAAGTATTTTACTTTTCCATTAATTTTGAAAAGAAATTTTTGCAGAGTGTATCATTTTGTGTTGGAATTTGTTTTCTTGTAGGACATGGAATACTTTACTCCATGCTCATGTTGACTTGATCATTTGTGCTGAGAAATGTGCTGGTATTCCTATGGGTTTTCTGTTAAAATTGATCTGTTTCTTTTTTCTAGCCATGTTCAGTATGTTGTTCTTGTGCTGAGGTCTGGAACCTTGATTACTATATGTATGGTTGTAGATTTAATTGGATTGATACTGTTTGAAGTTCTATATGACTTGGCCGTCTGAATGTCAGATTGTTTCCCAGTATTTGGGAAGTTTTCTGCCATTACTTCTTCCCATATTCTTTTTATGCAATTTGTGTTGTCATTTTCTGTCTAATTGATGCCTATTAGTCTTGTATTGTTCATCTTTGCATTGTCTTGCAGCTTTTGAATTATTTTTTTCCTGGATTTGTTGGGGCTTTTTTCTGCAGTTAAGACAGGGTCTAAAGGGTCTCATTGTGCAGACTGGACTCAATGATTCTCCTGTTTCAGCCTCCCAAGAGCTAGGATTACAGGTGCATGCCACCACACCCAGTCCCAATTGCTATCTCAGGGCACCCTGGGGGTGGGGCCAGCACAACACACCTGGAATCGAACCCCAGCTGCTGCACTCTGCCTAAGCAGGCGCTTTAGTTTGCTCAGCTATCAGGCCATGCTTGTGTTGTCTTTAAGCGATCTTTCCTTACCTACTCACTAGCTGTGAGTCTCTCAAGTTGTGAAAGTCTACCTTCACTTCTATTCAAACATTTTCACCAACTCTTAGTGGAAGTTTTGCTTTCCTGTATAGATCTTTGAATCCTTTTGATGCATTTTATTTCTTTTGCTTTGCTCACTCAAGATTTCCATCATTTCTCTCTTCTCTTCTGTTTTTTTCAATATCTTCTTTAGAAACAGTTATTCTTTCATTATAGTTATCATTTTTTTAAACTTGGGAGATTATTTCTTATCTCATTTCCTTTATACCTTCTGCAGTTGTTTCTTTACTTCAGTTGCTATTATTTCATAGATTTTATGTATATGACTTCCACTTTCTTAGATACTAGTGTCTCCTTAGATTGCATTTTGCTCCTTTGGTTTTTACAGTTTCTATTTTGGAAAGAAATTTTTATTATGATTGCAGTGAATCTTTCTGAAAATTTGACAGTATATAGCTCTAACACGGCAATCAGAACCTCCCTGTAAAGAGTCTGGATTTAACTATATCTTGTGTCAGAGAGTGTTATTTTGTGTGTTCCAAGATTTTTCCTTCTCCATTGGTTTAGAGTGAGATATTAGTTTCCACTTGGCACTGTCCCTCCTTTGCAATAGTGATTTGTTGATGTTACTACCCAAGCCCCTCTCAATACTATTATCTAAGGGAGAACATGTGCTTAAAGCAGATATGGCATCCTCTTTACAGTGGTACAATTAGCAATACTGAAAAGCAAGTGAAGTTTAGAAATTGACAAAATTTTGTAACTAATGGTGTTGAACTTTAGGCCATAGGGGCCAACATTCTAGTCATATAACAAAGCAGATCATAACTTGGGAGTTTATATTTAAATTAGTTCCCCTGAGTTCTGTCTGGTCACCTCCCCTTTATGTACCTGGAGCCTTCCCAGCAAACTAGCTTACCCAAGTTACCTCCCACCACCTCTCTGCTTTGATGATCCTCTGTAGACCTGGGCCTCAGTCTGGGACCTGCTGGGCCTAGCACTATGCCTAAGCTCACTGTGTCTAAATGTACTGAACTCAAAATGACTTTCCAGACCTGGCTGCTGGACCTAACTCCTTGTGGCTCTGCTCTTCTGAACTCAACTCACCAGCCTATGGACAGGGCTCAGCTCTGCCTGACTCTGCTCTGCCAAACTCGATCATCTTGACCTGCCCACTGGGCTCCATCCCTAAATATCTTTTTCAACAACTCCTCACTCCTTTTCCTTTCACGTCTCTGACCATCCATTCAAAATATTGTCTACAACCCATGAATCATTAGACAGTTGCATGAGTGACCATTTTTTCTTCCAAGGAAAATATACCAGCAAGGGTACTCCCAAAAGTTCTGGTGACTGCAAAGATTTCACTTCACATAGACTTCAGAAATATCCCAGAAAGGGTTATAGTGCAGAAGCTTTTCAGTTTCAAGTGATGCCTACATAACATGCCATACCATCCATGACCCTGGTCCTAGTCTTATAGTCCTCCTTCATTTGACCATAAGGTATACTTCATGAGGCCACAGAAAAATACTTGGAGACAGAGGTCAATGTACTAGCAATAGGAACCATGGGCTTTGGGGAACTTCTTCATGTAACTTTCTTATGCACTCCAGATCTGCTCATATACAAACATACATTCTGCACTACTCCCACTTATATGGATTGTTGCTGTGCACATCCAATTTTCTGCCTTGCTGCACTGAAATATACCAAGCCCATGATGGTCAGCTTAACAGGCAAGGTAACCTATTGTCTCATGTTCAAACATTCCATTTATCTTGAATTTTAGTAGCAGGACAGGAGCTGCTTTTTGAAGGGAAAATAGGGATCTGAAGATAGCAAAGCTTTGCTCCAAAATCATAAAAATACTGCATTTTGATTCACCTGAGGGTAGCTTCCAGAGACTCCAAGCAGCATTGAGTATCTGTCAGTGATACCTCAAGAACCACTAAATCTACTGGATCATTTGGTCCCACTAGCACACAACCTGTGTAGCATCCTAGATACATTTAAGAGCAATTTCTTGTTCTGGAAGCCACTAAACACTAATAATATTTTTAATTGTCAGTAAATGTGCTTGCATAAGTCATCTAATTTAGCAATGTATTGCCTCCAAATACCAAATAGGCCCTCTAAACATTGTGTGTCTTATTTGATTGTAAGCAGATCCAGGTGCAACCACTTATCCTTCACCTCAAAGGGGATATAAGTGTTTCTCCATATCAGTCAACTCCTAGAAATTTCACCACAAGGACCTTAACTTTAGTCATGTTCATTTCTATTCTAACATGTCTAGAGTATTCTCTACCTCCTTCTCACTTGGTCAAATCAGCATAATATCTTCAATGTAATGGACCACTGAGAATTCTTCTGGAAGAGAATGATTGTCAATATTCCTGCAAACTAAGTTGTGAGACAGAGCTGGAGAGCTAATACATCCCTGAGGTAAGACACGAAAGGTAAATTATCTAGCCTTGATAGGTGAAAAAAATATCCTAGTTGGTTTTATGGGTAGTTATAAGGAAATTTTAGAATTTAGAAAGGTTTTCTCTAGATCTGTGAGGTATACAAATGATATTTTAATTGAGATTGCATTGAATCTGTATAACACTTTTGGGAATATGGCCATTTTCACAATGTTCGTTCTTCCTGTCCAGGAGCAAGGGATATCTTTCCACTTTCTACATGCTCTTAAATCTCTTTTCTCAGAGTAACATAATTTTCAATGTATAAATCTTTTAATTCTTTTTTAAGATTGATTCCTAAGTATTTCTTTTTGGTGAATGCTATTGTGAAAGGAGTGGTCTCCCTATTTCACTGTTGGTATATTCTTTGTTTGTGTACAAAACTGCTATTGATTTTTTTGAGAGTTTGCTTTGTATCCTGGCATGCTACTGAATTGGGATGTCAAATCTAAACATCTCCTGATAATGATTTTTGTGTGTTCTATGTGGAATGTCATGTAATCAGCCAATAATGATAATTTCACTTCTTCCTTTCCGATCATTATACTTTCACTCTAGTTGTATGAAGAACGTCACTGATACTGATGTCATCCCCACTGTACCCTCAAAACAAAGTCAATATTCAGTACAGACAAAATTCTTCTAGAACTTTGTATCCTGCAACGTTGGAACACAGTGACCCAGATACACCCATACATTCTATTTATTCCCTGCCTGGCAACCACCACTCAGACACTGTCACGTGTCTGATAAGTGTACAATGCTCAGTAGGTAGTGAAAAGTCACAGGGAAAGGCATCTAGGGAAATGTTACTGTGGTGGGAAAATTTACAAGAAGATTCGATTGTGCAATTATGATCAAGATATTTTAAAAGAAACAAGTGAACAAAAACACCCACAACCAGTATTTGTAGTGGTGGGAATATGACATGGTTACTATAATCATTACATAACCCATGTTCTCATTTAACTTTTTAAGGTTTTCTTCCTCACTTTTAGGAACTCCACTGATGCTGCTGGAGGGTCTGAAAATTTTTGAGGCGTGACATTTTGCATGGAGCACCAAAACTCTCCTCTCTTTGGAAGCTTCTCTTCTATTGTTGTCATCTGAATTACCTACTATGCGAGCAAATATGTTTTCTGTTCGGTATCTTGACACTATAATATACAAATAACTTTGTTACTAGAAACAACCATAAAAATAAAGTACAGAGAAAAAACAGCACATAGAACTTCCCATAAAACACAGAGAACTCAGAGACAACGGTCACAGTGTTCACCACCCATTCCTTCACTGTGTTTAGTCATAAAGTGTTTCCTTGAACAAGGCATTTATCAAAATATTTTGATTAACAGCATAATTGCTAAGACAAAATCCATGCACTGTATCTGAAGCAAATTTCAACTCAGGTATCACAAGCACAGAACACCAGAATTAGATCAATTTCATTAAATCCCACACAATTCCCACATTCAGTGACTCAAAATGCTCATTGTTCTACAAAAGAAAGATATCAGGCTTCTCCTTGAATCTCTGTTTTGCCTCTTTGACAGAAAAAGAAAAAGACACATGAACCATGAAAAAGGCTACTTCCAAAACACACAATTTATTTATGTCTTATCAGCAAGGTGAGTGTTCCTTATAAAAGCAAAGCAGAGCCTGGATAAAAAAGAAACCTGGTTCATTACGAGAAAGGGGCAGATAGTTGGAAAACACAGAGAAAGTACATCAGAAATGCTCACCAGCCACCAATATACCTCAGGAAAAAGAGCAATACAAAAGTTAAAGAGAGATGATATGCTGTAAAATGATACAAAAGTGCCCACGAGAAGAAGGATGCTTTTGGTGGCTCTGGACTCAGGGGATCTAGAGAAAACATTTGTCTTGTGAATGTGTCGGACATGCTGTTTGTGTCGGTACAGAGTAAAAATCATGGAGCCACTTGCACAGACCATGAGCACAGAAAAAATAACTTCAGGAAATGTTATGAATGTCAAATAGACTGAGCCCAGGATTTCCCCTTGATCTGCAACAGAACAGAATCTCATCTCTCTTTTCTTTGTGATGTTTCTGCTGTGAAAATTTTCAGATACATTCATTAGATACACAGGGAAAATGAAATTTACCACGATATGTTGAAACCAGCAGAGGCAAATGCATAAGCCAATGTACTTTGGAGCTTTGATTTTAAGATCTTTCCAACAGGAGTTGATGGGGCTTATCATGATAGTTTGGAAGACACTCAAGAGGCAGATAGTACTAATTGACACACCCCTGCCAACTCTCTCCATATACAAGATAAATTTGCAGACAAAATAATTGAAAGCATGTTTCAGTCCAAAGTTTACCATTACCTGAGGAAGTCCTTCAGAAAGAATAAGTAAGGAGTTGGCTATCGATATGTGCTTGAGAATCAATTCTACATATCTCAACTTGCTTTTAGTATGGTAAAGGAAAATATAATGATAAAGAAGAAAAAAATTGGCTAGGAATCCCACCATGGTTTGTGACAAAAAGATCATTCCAATTGCCAAAGACACGAAGTATGCTTTTGCCATTTTCTCTAAAGATTCCTTGAAATCATAGTATTATTTTCTGAGCAATTTGTATGGCAGAGATATAACAGCAAAAATAATTTTGAAGTGAGCTCTTATAGAATCACAAATGTTCATAAAGCAGGAAGAGCTGAAGAGAATTCTCAGGCTATTTCAGAGGAAGTCATCAATATGGATGAGACAGTGTGAACCTGAGAATGAAGTAGCAAGTGAGAACATATAGGGAGCAAACAGTATTTTTAGCAAATACTGAAATGCATCTTAATCATACTATAGAAAGTAAAAAGATATATAGGGAGCAAACACAGTATTTTCAGTAAATGCAGAAAGGCATCTTAATCATACTATACAAAGAAAAGACACCAACCTTATTGGCTTCATAATGCAGGTCAACTCTGAATAAATTTCAACTGTCAATAAAATAAAAAAACCTAAGTGGTTGAAAAAAATTGTCTCTATGGTCTAATTATTGGTTCCAAAACCCACTAGAATCACAGACAAAAATGATGAGTTATATTAAAATTAAGAATAGTTTTCATTAAAAGCATGCATAGTTAAATTGAAAGGGCAGTAACAGACAAAGGTAGATGGGCAACCAGGCACGAGAAGAGAAATTAGAGACATTCGTAGGTCTCTAATTTCATTAGAAGATACAGAATGATTCATCATGACACGCTGATGCACACTACATAAGGGAATCTAAAATAGTTAATATTGCAGTATAAATTTCAAAAAAGAATTTAGTCAGTTGAGAATAAATATATTCAAATATTTAATGTTCTCATTAAACAGAGAAGTTTGAATCAAACCTCTACCTGCTGCTATCAAACACGGTCCTGACTGTTAAAAAGGAAATGACCTGAAAGATGAAATGTATTTATTTTAATGAGAAAAGAAAGATAAAACATCAATGAAACAGTTTCAAATCATGTTCGTAGGACAGTTATAAGAATTAACACATTGCATATTATTGTCTCCATAATAGTTATTCAGAGGATAAGATGCAGATGATATAATATCTTGTCTAAACAATATTAGTACAAAATTTTATTCTCAATGAACTAAGAATAAGTAGCTGTATATCTATCCTAACTCTCTTGTATAAACATGTGTATTTTTCCCAACACAATAGTCTTTTATTTACAGTTTTGTGAAGTCAGTGACACATGACACTAGGTTGCCTTACAACTGATAGCTCACCTTCACCAGATGGGATGTTCAGGAGTGAGGTAGCTTGTTTGCTTTAGGCACTGGGCCAAGTCCCATCTACAGATATCAGATAGATTTCCTAGCTTCATGGTTCCCAACATCTCCCACTTTTTCACTCTGTTTTGTCAGTGATGGGTGTTCCACTGCAGTTAGAGAAGCAGTATTTGGAGAAGTCTTTACAGGATCTTTTTATACTTGAAGCCTAAAGATTTTAGGTACTTGAAGTCAGCAAAATAACCTAATATACACCAATAGTCCATAATAGCACTGAGTTATCAGCAGAACTGGCAACTGTCTGAAGTTGTTGACTTGAGTATTTTACAGCTCAACATATTAATGTGGCATTACTTTTTCTACCTCGTGTTAATACTTTTTCTGCTGGATGGTTAAGACCAAGTTAAAACAAGACCTATACAACTAAAAATGTAACCTTTTGATCTGACAAGTTCAGTCAAATCCCCTCAGGATTTACCCTGAAACTATGTGCAACACCTTGAAGATTTTTAGTCAGTATCAGCCATCTGGATGAGTCATAGCCATTGCTTGACCAGTTTGGTCTCTGAAATCCCGAGAGAATCTTTTCTCTCTAGGTGACTCTCCATAGGCACACTATACATCGTCAATTTCTTACCTCTGTGGCCCCATAGTCTCCTTGATCAGAAAATTTGGGACACCACTGAGTTACAGGGTGTCACCGCACAGGTTCCCTTAGGTCCTGAGTCCTCAATGACCTAGAATGGCTAGGGCCAAAGTATTGGCTATCCTTGTATCCCCTCCATTTGTCTAATTTTTGTCTGCAAACTTTAGTTGTTAAACATCCAGAAGAAAAGCTTAATGATGTTATTACCTTGTAACAGAGGCAGTTGAGCTTACTATCACTGTCTGAATATCAAATGCCTTAACTTAACATGGAACTGCTATTTTCCAAGAGACATGGATATTGTATAATTTAAATCCCTATAGAATGTGAAGGAGAACAAGTACACACTTTTACATAGAAATTTAGAAATCAAACCATATACAATATTGTAGCAGGACATTCCTATGACATTTTTTCCTGTCTCTTACTTTCTTCTATTATCTTTTTTTTTTAAATTTACTTTAAAGAGATTATACCAATAATTGATATGAAATTAGAAGTAGCCCACATTTAGAAGATGAAAATGACAGGTATTTCAAGCATGATTTTAGTATAACACATTTCTATCCTCAGTGTAGTTGCTTAGTTCACAGATTTCAATGTATAGAGTTAGTCAGGGTGAGAATCCTACCCCTTGACTGCTATTTTCAAGAACCTGATGGAAATTCTTAGGACCGTTGCCTTAACCATTTTGTTTATATGAATGAATGCTTTTGCCCCTGCCATACTTCCTAATTTTCCCCTTTCTCTTTCTTCAAAGAGTAAGTTTGGTGAAAACATGGGGAAACAAAGAAATTGTGCATGCACAATGGTCAAAAGTGTTTTGAAAATGTTTTTTTTGTAGAATCATTTTAAGCTGCGAAACATAAGTTGAAATTACTCTTCAATATCTTTTTTCAGAATACCATAGTTTTAGTTCTATAAATCTGAGTTCCTTGATTAGGTTACTTCATAGGCCTCTAGTTTCATTAGAAAGTACAGTAAATGGAAATTTTTCCTGATTTATTTCTTAGCAGTTTTATCCTGGAGACATAGTGATGCTTCATTTTTGTGCATTGAATCATGGAAAATGCTTAGTCGCATAAGCACCTTCCTGGCAAGTGCAAGGTTCTGAGTTTGATTTCCAGTATGAGAAAGAGAAACAAAGACAGACAAACAGACAGACAGACAGACAGAGAATAGTCAAAATAAATTTTGTAAATTATTTTGTATCCTATTAATTTCCCCCTGCCTCTGATTCTTAGGTTTAAGTCTTCAGAGGGAATTTTTCAAAACTTCTTTCTGAAAGATCATGTCTTCCACCAATTATGATTGATATGATTTATTCCTTTGCTGTTCCCATCCCACTTATTTCTTTCAGTTGCATGATTGCTCTGGATAAAATTTTGAGTGCTGTATTAAAAAGAGGTGGTTTAGACAGCACATCCTTTTCTTATTCCTGATATTAGACAAAATGTATTTGGTTTTTCCCATTTATTGTGATGATGACAGTGGACTTGAAATAATTTTATCAGTTTAAGGTAGCATTCTTATCATTTTTTTAGAACAAACATTTACTTGAGAGACAGTATGGCAGTAATTGGTACGTCATGAGAAGCAGTATGTATTTAGAAGACCAGAATGACAGGCTTTCCAAGCATGACCATACCATTAACCATTGCTAACTTCAGTTCAGTTGCTTAGTTCACACGTATCAGCATACATAGTTAGACAGGGTGAGAATCCTACCAATTAACTGCTAGTTTCAAAAACCTGCTTAACAGTCTCAGGATCATTGCCTTAATCATCTTGTGCATATAAATGTATGGCTTTGCCCCGTGATGTTTCCTAGCTTTTCTCCTTGCCCTCTCTTCGTTGTCTAATCCGTAAATTCTCATTTTCCTTTTAATTGTATTATATCTTTCTCTTTTTATTTCTTCTTTTGAGTTCTTATACTGGGGAGACTATACTATATTTACACATGTAGGTTTGGTTTATTTCCCTTATGAGTATATCCTCAAGTGGCATCCACTTAAATATAAAGGCATTGAGTTTATCATTCATTACAGTTGAGTAATATCTCATTGTATAAAAATATCGCATCTTTTTTATCCATTCCTCAGCTAAAGGGCACCTTGGTTGTTTCCAAGATTTTGCTATCACAAATTGTGCTGTTGTAGACATAAGTACACATGCAAAAGAGGAAAGAAAACATTCAAATACAAGTAATAAGGAAAGTAAAGGGTGTATTTACCATGGACCCAGTGAACATTCAGAAGATTATTAATAGCTACTTTGAGGATCTTTAATGCTCACAGAAGAGAAGACACAGATGAAATGGACAGATTCCTAGAAAGGTACAAATTACCAAAACTGAATCAAGAAGATATAACTACTTAAGTTGTTTTGTAATATGTGCATTCAGAACTAACTGCTTTTATGACATCTCATAAGTTTTGATGTCATATTTCCATTGTACTTTGATTGTAAGAACACGTAAGTTCTTCCGTGCTCCAGTGCTTATTGAATGATGTGTTCTTAAATTTTCATGTTTGTATAATTTTTTGTGCTGTGTTTTGTTAGTGAATTATAATTGCACTTTTGTATGTGCCAATAACATTCAAGAGATTATTTCAATTTTTGTATTTATTTAAGCATTCTAAACTTCCTATGTTATGTTCTATTTTGAAAATACTTCTGTGTGTAATTGAGAAAAATGTATATTATGCTGTTGGATGAATGTTAGCTCCATTTGTATAATGGTGTAGTTTGACTCCTATTTCTTTTTAATTTCATTTCCTCTAGGTCACCTATTTACTTGTAAGAATGGGATACTGCAGTCCCTCACTATGGTTGTATTCATTTTTACCTCTTTTGTGTCCAGTAGTTTTGCTTTTGTAAAGTTGTGCCAGAAGTTTATACTTATATATTTAGACTTGCTGTTGCTTCCTGGTGAGTTGTTTCCTTAATGGATATCTAATTTCCACCTTTGTCTCCACCGTTCAGTTTTGGCTTCAGTAAGTTATGTCTGGAAATATGAAGCTTACTCTGCCTTGTTTGGGGAATCTTGTTGTATTGGTTGGTTTCCATCCATTAATTTTGATCTCATACATTTTCCTTTGGATTGGGTTTGTCTGTTTTAGACCATATATAGCTGGCATTTTTAGAACTAATA